CAACAACAACAACAACAGCAACAGGATAACGATGATGAGAAGACTGATGAAATGACAATAATCGTAGTAGAAGTGGTAATAAATTTGATAACAATAACAGTTACAATTTCATGAGTAGTACTAATATTAACACCTTTACAGAATGATCAAAGCAAAAATAATACCAAACACCCTCTATTAATTCTACTATTAATCAGACTCATAATAATAATGATACAAATAACAATAACATTAGTAAGACTAATAACAACAATAACAGCAACGAGACGCAACTAATAACCATATGGTGGATCCACTGCAATATAATTCAGAGTTAATGACAATCAAACAGAAAAGACTACTTGTCATCACAATACTAATGTTAATATTCATAGAAATTGTAAGTATACGAGTAGTAATAGAAAGACCTGGTGACAACTACTAGTGATAATGACAAGCGGTATATGAACAGCGAACACATAACTAAATGCTTATTGCCCTCTCCAAAACCAGCTAGATCTCGTGCTGGCGAAGCGACATGCTCACGCCGAGCATGTCTCTCGTAAGCTTGGCGTGCCTGATCAAGCCACATCATGCAGGTGCATCAAATCGGGTGCGAAAACTTGGAGCTGTAGGATTAACAATCTACAACCTATTTATGGACAATATGATCTGCCTCGTGTCAACTGCCGCTTGCCAGTCAGAAGGGAAGTCTGCAACAAACACCGACTGCTGCGCTGCGCGACCACGGCAGCACAACGGCAAGTTCAGGCACCGGTACGATGACAATGCCAGATGAACTCGGGAGTCACTGCCTACGACGTTGTGCCTGCTGGCTCGGGTGGTGCGCCACCGACAGAAACAGCCAGCGTACCACACCTAGGTTTGAAGATCTGAAGAGAGGAACCACAAAACCCTAAACCCTAAGCGTCCAGCGGAGAGCAGATTGAGCCTCCGAAGGGTTGCCTACATAGCAAGCTCTGAGCAGTCCATGAAACAAGCGCTACACGTTGAACCTCCTCAAGAACACACGTTTTGGTGGCCGGCTGCTGTGGCAGCTACAAACATCAATCACAGCAGTCGGAACTAATCCCGAAATCTCAACGTCACGACCCAACCCTGAACACATCTAAACCGAAACTCCAAATCGATAAAGGTCAAGCCCCGAACTTGAACGAGCGATTGCTATTGATTGAAGGTTGGGGGTTTTCGCAGTCAGGGCACTAAACTCGGTACGTCCACGGCCCCCTTGGCTCTGCGATGCATGATGCACCTCGGCGTTTCTATCACTCTCAGCGCTGCAAGGGAACTTGAGGTCCCAGGTGTAACCCTAAGGGTCCAAGTACCAAATAATCATATACTCTCCGAAATATTAACCTAAAAACTACTATCCGCAACCAAAGTACCTTATATTATTGGGTCCTTTGGACCCTTAGTGTAAGAGCTTCAGCCATGAACGCCCAGCCCCTGAACCAGCCCAAAAAGCAAGAACCCGAAGAGACTGACCGGAAAGCCGGTTAGGGTTTCGACTCTCACACTCGCACAAGGCCGGCAAGGCTCCGCATAGTTCAGTCTCCACGTCACGATAAGACATGCAGAATGCTTGGCCCCCACAAAACACAGAGGATTACAAAACACAGTAATAGAAACCAGAGCGTGGTGAATCAAGCAATCCTGCAGGATTCGAGCATTGCTCGCTGTTTCAAAAGACCATGC